TTTGTAAGTTACTACGAAGGGTTTCACCCGGACTAAAAAAGCAAGAAGGCCTGAAGCCCAACCACTGAAGTCAAAATAATTGTTTCCTTTCCCTAAAACCTCATACCGCTTTCGTGAAGTTTGTACCATAACCTGTGGAACCGATGCAGGGTGGCACCTCACACACATACACATGCACACTAGCACGCATTTGTGTGTGTATAAGCATATACACACCCAATATTATCCCTATCCATATTTCTTAACGTGTGGAGCTCACAGTCTGTGACTGGAGAGGGCTGATTTTTTTGCAAAGACTCGTGAAAGGCAACAGATTCAACCGATGTGCAAATAGTCAATATAAACACAATTTACATGCAATGACTGGATTCCTCTAAGCTCCAGGGTTTAGAAAGATTATTTGTCAGGTGCCTTTTAGTTTCAGACAGATTTCTGAGGAAAATAATTAGGTTTGTAAAACTGAGGCCAGCATGTCTTCCCATTGATCTTGGAGCTAACAGTGGGTTGCCCTCAGGGTTGTGTCAACTGCAAATAGAATGCCAGCTTGGAGTGAACATATAAAACAAGGTGTTATTTAGACTAGTTATTTTGCAGTTTTTATTGTGCTTGGCAGACCCTCTTTTCCTGTCACAGCAGTAAAACATGTCAGGGCTCGACTTTGCTTTCACTGAGCTGTAGCCAGTAATATTAGAGTGGGAAGAAAAAACCTGCCACTAAAAATGGTAAAAATAGCTCCCCTTGCCATCTTGCAATGACAGTGACTCTTCTGACAGACTCTGAAGAGAATCGTGTTAAATGCTCAACATAACGTGATTCTTGTCAGCTCTACTCTTGGAAAGAAAAAATATTCTGGTATTTGCTTTAATTTTGATGAGAGTCAGCAGCACAACACAAGTAAAATGGTGCTTATTCTGTCATTGCTTTAGCTACTGCTCCAACAGGTACAAAGATGTTGTTCCCTTGGTATAGTGTGCTGACTTAAGTCACTTTCCTTCAGGAGTCAGTTTAGATAGGGAGCAAGGTAAGTGAGCTACTTTCCACAGCTCCAAAATATCTAAGTGTTTGATTTTTTCTAAGATGAACAGCAAAAGAGTTTACTATATCAAACTTAAATGGGTAGCACTATGTAGAACAAAACTTTCTAGCTTTAAAACACCCTAAAAATTTCAGACTCTCACTGGAATTAATACCACACCATGTTACTAACAATGTTAACTTTTGGGGGTATTTTTCCAGTGTGAACGGAATTGAGAAAATCCGAATGGATTATACTCACACTACTACTGCTACTTTGGGTTAAAGTTATGTGTGAGCAAGTGTGGTTTAAGATAAATTCTCTAAGAAGCTCAAATCCATTACTTTTCACCAGGTTAAATTACTTTGGAAGAGGGCATTTGTTCTGAAATAAGAATGTCAACCAGTCTTGAGCAGAAGCAAATGATGCTTTAAATGCTGATCACTTTAATTATTTTGATTTTTCTTTTATGAACAGAGATAGCCTGTGCCATTATATATTGTGAAATAGGATTTTCTTCATGACACTTCTGTATGTCTCCTAAAATCTCTATTTTTTCATGAGCAAATCACTAAGGTAGTATTGCCTATTTATTACTTTTGCCTCTTTTTCTACTATACTTCCACTATATTTTTCCAAGTCTCTAAAAGAGGCTGCATCTTCTGCCTTGATTTCTCAGTGTGTGGCAGATTACTGCCCTATAATCCTAAGTCCAGTTAACATTGAAAGGAATTCCTTTTTTTATTGTGGATAATTTGATATCTAATTCCACTTGATTTCTTCTCCCATTGGGAGACTGGGGCTGTTGAGGAGAGTTCCTAGCTTTAGCATCCCTAAATTTTGCTTGTGCACATTTATAGCCCATCTCTTGCCCTCACTGCTCGGGGAATATGGCACTGTATAGGCTTTTCCCAGGCCCTCTGTGTATTCTATGTATTTGGGCAAAAGAGGGTAAGGAATGCACTATTTCCTTTTATAGGAGTCACAAAAAAATTCTGTTTTTTTTTTCTCTCTTTCCTCCAAACACCACATGCCACAGTGATCGTATATATGAATACATACATATTTAGGCATTCACAGATACACTCACTATGGGCTAAATGCAGGAAGTTTATAAAATAATGCCTATCCTAAAGGCTTGGAGAAGATGAGATGCACTATTCAGTGGCTCTAACTACCCTGCAGTCTTACTACACAGTAATTAATAGCATGACTATAAGATACCAAGAAAAAAAAAGTCTTGAGAGAGTTACAAAGATTGAAAAAGATGGCTATGTATATTACTTGTTATTAGTAAAACATAAGCCGTCAGGTGTGTCTTTCAACTTAAATTGTAAGGAATATTTATAGCAAGGAGAATTTTCCCCCATAGCAGTGCCTGCTAATGATTAATTCATATAGAAAACTGAGATAATTACGAATTATTGCAAATGAAACAGCAAGCTCTAGGTATAAATGTAAATCTTAAAAGAGAGACAGCTTTAAAGGGGATTAAACTCCCCACAAGAGCTGGCAAGTCAGTACATTCCTTGGCCTGGATGGTGAGAATTATATATATATGTGTGCATACATACTTTTTTGTTTTTCTTTTTTTTTTTTAAAGTTCAGCATTTAAGGAACCTGCAGGCAACCCCAGCAAAATGACATTCTTCCCAGTGCTGCCATAACATTGTGTCATTTCCTTAGGCAGCATCCAGGTATGCTCACAAGATATCTTGCCTCGGAGAACATTTCAGCTGAGGTCAAAATCTTAGATACTAAGTGATGGTGTTCTGCAGCATCCTTTCCAGGTTGATGAACATTTACAGTGTCATCTGCAGTGCAATTAACACTGACTGGTTTTGGCATCACTGTTTCATTTGGCTACTCAGGAAAGTCTCCTGTTCTGGTCTGTCAAAGCCAAAGATGCAGGGACAGTGTAAAATTATTTTCTTCATTATAGGCTCTATCATCAGCCCATGCCCTGATGAACTACAGGTATTTTATTTGGAGGGGAGCATTGGTATGACTGGATACTAGTTACCTAACTTAATGAAAAAGAGAGGTTCATGCAGGATCATTGGAAAGGGCTCCAATTAATAGACTCTAAATTGCTCTTTGAAGGAACCTTTTTTGTTGCTGGCTATGGGGGAAATCTGGGGAGAACATCGTGCTGCATGAAAGCAGTTTAGGTGAGGAAGATCTGCCCTGCTCTGTGCTGAGGTCTCTCATGGCTATGCAGCAATGTCACAGTCTCCACCTTTACCACAGGTGTTTTCTTCTGGGTAAAGGAAGACAAAATGATCTAAGCCATTTTGGAATCCATGTCCTTTCAAATTACAAAGAATTTAAAAATGTGTCAACAGTTCCTCAAGCAAGTCAATGGAACTGAGCTGCTAAGTCTTCAAATCATTTCCGAGAATTTTGATTCCTAAGTCAGTGCATGCTTTTAAAAGTTATTTCTGAGGATATAAATATTGACTTTGTCAAGTCCAATTATATAGTCAAATAGTCAAAAGTTCAATAGGAAAACGAGTTCATCACCAACTTCCCAAATGTAACTCTAAATTTGGCTATCATTCTATTCCTTTTTTGCCTGATCTTCCTTGACCAGAAGGATCACTTGGTAAAGATACATAAATATTTGTGGAGGAGTAGTTATTTGCCTGAATATAACTACATGGCTTACTTTCCAGAAGTAACCACAATTTAATGGGCTAGATTAATAAAGCAATAATATCTGTGCACTATTAGACATCTTCACAGGCTCTTGTGCTCATGCATGCTAAAAATGCAGTCATACATTGACATGGGTATTTAAGCATTATGTGCCTAGCAAGCGACTGCAAGAGAAAGCAGGATAGTAGAAAAGAGGAGTGATTTAAACACTAGCAAATGACAGTGGCCAGATGCTGTCAGTGCGAATTGCAGCGTCGCACGGGCAGACAGATGAAGTGGAGACTAGTCCTAGAAGGTCTTTTTTTATTGAGGACATTTTCAACTTGCCATGTAGGTGATCTACAGAGATGGGCAAAGTAGTTCTGTAGTCATCTCTCTCATCACAGAGTCTCACTTCTCTCCACATCTTTCTGCAGGTGACAGGAACAGCAGTGCTGCTATCGGTTCCCTTCCTCTGCGAATATGAAATCCCTGAACCTTTGCTTTTCTGACAGAATATTGCAATCACTGCTTTGCTGAAAGAACACAACATAAATGTGCCTGAGTCCTGAAGCTACTGGTTTTGAAAGTTAGGAAAATACAACAATTTCCGGCCCTCATGCCGGAATTCATAGATTATACATCGCCATAAGTAGTACTCATCATGTAGCTGTGTAACAGGTTTTTTCTCTAGATAAAAAAATACATCATGACAATGTGAAAGAAAATCCATTCTACTTACACAAGAACACAAAAAAGATATGCTATCAGTAAATCCTCTCTCCCTTGTCATTACTTTTTAGAAAGATCTGTGCAAAGTCAATAATTGCATCGTATTAAAAATGCACTCCCATTCCCAAGGCCTCTCAGATCCCATTCAGAGGTGGGTTAGAGCCTAGGAAATCACCATGAACTATGTGTGCATACATATATATATATATATATATAGGTTTTACTCCCACTGTCACCCACTTGAGCAAAACATGCCCAGAGCAAATGCCACTGATTAATTCTTGAAACTGTGTTTTTACAGCATGAAGTGAGCTGTAAAGAAGCACAGAAGCACAGCTTTGAGAATCACTTTGGAAGGAACCTGTGTCATTAATGAAAACTCGCCAGGCTGAAAGGGTGTACAACTAAAGGAGGTAAACTAATGGAGCTAAACTAAAGGAGGTAAATCAAGTTAGCTAAGCTAAACTAGCTAAGCTAAACTAGCTAAGCTAAACTATATGTTTTATGCACATAAGCAAACCATGGGAAAAAAAAAGCAAATAAAGATAAAATTTAAAAAAGCAAATAAAGATAAAATTTAAAAAAGCAAATAAAGATAAAACGCAAGGGCATGAAGTGAAGGAGAGGCGGGTGCTGCGCGGCGGCGGGACGGGCGCCGCTCGCGGCTCCCCGCGCGGGGCTGTCCCCGCGCCCGGCTCCGCTGGCTGCGGGACGGCCGCCAGTCCAGGAGGCTCATCCTGCTCATCGTGTTCATCGCGCTGCTCTTGGACAACATGCTGCTCACCGTGGTCGGTACGTGCCGCGCTTCCCCTCCTGCCGCTTCCCGCCGGGAATAGCCTCTAGCCACGGCCGTGCTCCCCGCATGCCTGATTATAATGCTTCGACTTACACGTTTTCGACTATTCATTTCCAAACGTGTGTCATTCTAGGTCTTGCCAACACTGTCGTGCGTGTCAAAGTTTAGTTTTATGCTCTATTTATTGCAGGATAAGCTTTGAGCAAAAAGCTCTTCATAATTCTTTTTCTTAAAAAAAAACTGAAAGAAAGTAATACTTGAGAGAATGACAGATAACAGTATTTTTAGTTCATCACCAAATGGTTTCTCCTGTGGTCATGAAACTGAAAGAACAGGCTAGATAACATTTGGGCTGTGTTTCCTTGAGATAGACCCCCTTTCCTCCATGCTGCTCTTAAAATGAGAGATTAAAAAGAAAGCAATCTCAAGGGGTTTTAAGAAAAGCACTTCTGGGAGTTGCTTTAATAGAATAACCCTTGTTTTGATCAAAGTTTAAGACACAGGCTTCTACTGCCTTCAGTTGCAGTGTCACGATTTAGGAATCTACTTGTAACTTATGGTTTTAGGGGGTCCTTGGTAATTTAAATTTGTATATTTATGCACATCTTACCTATGCACAGGTTTCTCAGCGAAGCAAATCAGGCTCCACAGAACTGAGGGGTGGTATCTTAATCAGACACAGGATTAAAGGCTGATTCTGCAACATAGACATTAACAAAAACATTTAGATACATATTCAGGCCAGTCATTTTTTGATTTTTTTACATGAGTATACGGTCTTATAAATTTATTAACATCTCATTGCTTAATATTTCTGTAAGAAGTCCTTCTGTTTCAGTTACCGAAAGATTGGCTTCATTTGGAAAGAGAGAAAGTGAGACAACAAGTGTTGATTGAGTCACTAATACTCTCTAGTAGCATGAATCTTCATCTGTTTTTACTAGTTCTGAAATACTAATTTCTGAAATGCATATTAATGTATTTAACTTGCAGCTGTGATCCTAAGTCAGGTAAAAATATTCATGTTCAACAACTTCTTTGTGATCTTTTAAATGCATTTTTTTTTAAAAAAAAAGAATTAGAAATGTAATTATTAATACATCAGTTCCAATTAATGAATATTAGAGTGTTATAAAAAATTCTTTTTTTTGATTGTTATTTATGCAACATTTCTGTGGCATGTTTTATAAATCTGTTTTATTACTCTTAAAATACTTATTTTAAATAATAGTTTTAAGCTTTTCTTAGCCTCTGTGTTTTCACAGCTTGCCAAACGGATTTATGCAGTAACATGCAACAAAAAGACTGTATGAATGCAGTCTTTGGTACTTCTCAAATTTTGCTTAGTGAATGCTGGCTGCATAGAAAACTTTACATTGAAAATGGAAAAAAAAAGAAGTTAAGAAAAGGTCTTTGTTCTAGCTGCATTTCCAAGTAATTGTTTTTTTTTTTTTCCTGGGGGAAACTTTTCATTCTTTGTTTCAGGCCTTCAAAACTCTTAATGGGGCTCTTATTTAGGGATAAAGCAAATAAGAATATAATGATTCCATTTACAAATTCCCTGATAATAAAATGCCGATACGTTCTATTTGTTTTTCCAGTGCCGATAATTCCCAGTTACCTTTACAGCCTCAAACATGAGAAAAATGCAACTGAAATCCAGACTGCTAAGCCTAACGTAGTTCCAACAACAGTGGACAATTTTCGGAGTATCTTTTCCTATTACGACAACTCATCGATGTTTACTGGAAATGAATCTGATAAGATCAGGCCAGCAGAGCATACCCAGACAGAGCAAATGATAGTGAACGTGACAACTTCACCGTCCGATTGTCCGAAGGAAGATAAGGACCTGCTGAATGAAAATGTGCAAGTTGGGCTGCTGTTTGCCTCAAAAGCAACAGTTCAGCTCATCACTAACCCTTTCATAGGGCCACTGACAAACAGGTATGTCATTTCTGTTATGTTATTCACTTAGCATTTTATACTGATGCATATTCCTTCTTTATTCTGAATTAGTATTTCAAATGATGTAATTGATATTTCCATTGCAGAAATTTAAAATCTGTGAAAGCACTTAGTATCCTTCTCGCTTTATCCAGAGGAATATTTTGGTGAAATATATTTCAAGGGCACATCTTCCAAATGCTTCCCCTTTCCCAAATTAAAACGCCAGGCTACACACGAGCCATTTGATACCTTAAGTATCATACACTTTAACTCCTGAGGCCTAGGGTCCTTACAGGAACTTTTACTGCAAATATGTTAAAATTTTTTTGACAGGCATAATGTAACTCCTCAAGTGTGGGAGGCCAAAAGACACTATAGCTCAGTGTTTGTGAGAGTGGAACTGTGAATTGATGGTAGCTCTGTTACACTTAAAGGACACAAATTTGATGCTGAACGTGTGGGCAGTGTCCAGACTTGCCCTCCATGCTTGGTAGCCCACGCTCCTGAATCAGGCACTGGGACACTGTGATAAGAACCGCGTGGGAAATCTCATGGACTTTAATGAAAAATCTCTCGGATAGATTGCTGATGCCATACTCAGTTCAATGGATTGCGTGGGTTTATGTCAGCACCTGATCTAATCTTCAAATTGGTCTCTCCATATATTTGCATATATATGATGCCTTGTACATAGTAAGTCTGAATGCTGTGTCTTAGAAGATTGATTTAAACATTATCAGGGGTATAATCACCAATATGGATGACAGCAAAAGAGAAATAAACCTAGTGATATAGGCATGGAGATTAAAAAATATTCATAATGTCATTTTAAATTTTGGTGTTTGTAGAATTAATTTTATTGTTAGTATTTTGTACATCTATTCCCCACATAAGTCGCATTCTTTCTAAGCAGCAAAATACATGAGAATATGAGGTCAATCTCTGAACAAACTAAACTCCAAGTTGTATTTAGTCAGATCACTGATGTTTGTATTTCATATTTGAGCTATTTTTATGAAGCAGAAATTTGTTCTTGGAAAATAGCATAGAGTGGAAATCTGTCCACCTTCTGCCCTTGTGAAATGTGTTTTTTTGTTTGAGCAGTCAGTGCTGTGGCAATAACCAAAGCAAAAAACACACCTAAATATTAGATATTTCTGCTTTCGAAGTGAAAACTGCTCTCCTTAGATTTTACAGATTATGCTCTGCGATGGTTAAACTGAGTGTTTAATTTTAATCTGATGCAAGAATATCTTGAAGGATAAGCACTTGTTTGACTCAAAATGTTATAAATTCAAAAACTGTATTAAATCCATGGAACTGGTATAAACACAAAAGCTTTAAATTACTCTAGTTTCTCTCTCTTTCCATTGTGTCTCCTACTACATAACGCCTACACACATATATGTATGCCATTATCTGCAAGTTAAAGAGAGAACCAATTTTTTCTTACCCAGACTTCCTTTTTTTTTTTTTTTTTCCTTTTTTTCTTTTTTTGAGGACAGGATAGTTCACCCACAGGCAAGGTAACAGAAAGGGGTATCATCTCTTCATATTTCTTTAGGTATCCTTCTTGTTTTTATTAACAGCCTAAAAAATTGCCATATGTATATATACACATTATAATAAATATATTATGGTTATGTTTTTATATTATTAGAATTTCCAGCAACTGCCAAAGTAGGAAAAAAGCAAGAACGTGCTCCACATTTTCAGTGCTGTCTCAATGCTCTGGTTATGTCATATCCTAGATACCATCTCAGCTCTTTCCTTTTGAGGCATCCGCAGAGGTCTGGGGGTGCCTGTATCCCTGTCCGTGCCTATCCCTTTGCTGAGAGGAATTAGGCCTGGAGCCCAGGCTGGGGATGAGCAGCCAGACACTTGTTGTTGGTTTGGGATCAGGGATGTGCCTGACTCCTGAGAGAGAAGCACCTGAGACACGTCCCGTGAGGTTTCAGTGGGGCATCTGTGACAGCCACATGCCCAAAGGCAGGGAAGAGAATAATCAAGGACAAGATGCTCCCTGGCTTCTCGTGCAACAAACATATTCTTTCATGCTGAAGGAAAAGAGCCGTCTAATGGCACAGTGGCCCTAAATTAGATTTAAGGATTACTGTGCTTCTTTCATGCATTATTTATATCTTGGGACAAGTAGCTGCCTTTCTTCTGAGAAATACTTAGTGGGAATTATCAGTGATCAAGGTTATCAATTAACTACAAAAGTCGTTGGGGAAAAAAAACTAAAAATTCACATTTCTTAAGAACAAAATGTATGTTCTGTTAAAAAGAAGTGAAGAATGAAAACTGGAGATACTTGAGCTATCATTACAAAGACTCTATCACTGATAAACTGCTTAATGATAATTATCATTTTTATCTGTTTTGCAGAATTTCATCAGAATATCACAGCTTAGGGAAAACGGGTTGCTCTGTTAAAGTACACAGCCTGTTTGTTAAGATGCCCAGCAATTTTCCTTACAATGTGGACATGGTATTAGTTTTTCAACAAAAGAATGGTGTTACTTAAGACTGACTTAGAGTTTTGAAGGATTATGGAGTTACTTGCTTAAGGTACAACATAGCTTTAATTAGTGGAGTCCGTGCAGGATGCAACAGGGTATTGTACATAATTACTTTTCTGAAAGTTTCCTGGGTATTGTACTCACAGTAGTTAGTTTGTGCACATAATTACTTTTCTGAAAGTTTCCTGGGCTATTTTTTCAGTTTTTCTAAAACTTTTGAAGGTGTGGTTCTTCTTTAATTTTGAAATTTATTTTTTTTAAAAAAAGTAAGCTGTGCTAAACAATAGTTCTTATTTAAACCTCGACTATATGTTTTTTCACAGACCACAAGATGAAGGCACCTGCCTTGGTGAGCTGGTTTGTAATTCATGAAACCTGCTCTACCTTGCCTCTGAGTGCTGCTGAAAGTCATGGCAAATGAAAAGCTAAGGTCTTGACTTTGCCATAGGATATGAGCAACGTATTTCTCATAGTGGCTGTACTTCAGGGCAGACCTGATAAGATTTAATGTCTCAGATTCACAGTATACTTGCGACCGTGGTGAGATTGATAAGAAACTATACAAAATAGCACAACATTTAATCTGGGGCCCTTGCCCTTTGTGAGGAGGAGGTATTGGCAACAGCAGATTCAAGTCTCTGACTAATACTTGACTGTATAGAAAGTGGTTAATAAGCTGCTGTGCTTCTTGTGACTGACTGATTTGCTCCATTATTTTCATCAAGTTGTCACTGAGCTCTATGACTTAGACTTGATGCCCAGGTGCCTGGCCCGACCATTCACTAATATTAGTAAGGGTCTTATCTGTCACGTATATCCCTCCCCGAGTCTGAAAAATAATATGGCTTTAGCCTTACCTTTATTCAAATATAACCTCTACGTTCATTTAAAAATAAATATCTTCATTATCATTTTTATAGCCAACCTGAGTAGAGATCTGAGTTGATCTTGCAAGTGAGATTGAGGGCTGAATCATCGTGGATTTGTGACCAAGATATATACAAAGAGTGAAGGAGAGGAAGGCATACAATAGCATTTCTAACTGCCCGGTTACAGTTCAGCTTGGGTGGGAACGTTCCGTAGGAGAGTGTTTGAAATGATTGATTACCATTAACACGTAGTGTGCTTAGGGCGTGCTCCTACCTGGCACTGCTGCCCCTGCGTGTTCTTCCTTAGCCTCACACACAATCAGCAGTTCATGGCTTTATTACCTTGATCAAAATATTCTTCTTGCCAGTCTTCCTCTCCAGTCTTACTGGCAGTGAAGAAGGAAGGCAAGCAGAGACAGATGTAGCAAGCGCTGTTTGCACTGGTGCTTGAAAGCAATACAGAGACAGCACCGAGAGTGGTGGATTCGCAGAACTGTAATGAACAGACTACTAGGCTCTGATCGACCATGGCTCTTAACCTGGTGGTCAGTGTAAGCTTTGCTGCAGCACAGCACCCATCAACGGCTTATCTTATCCCAGGGTAATGTCATTAATGAGCATCATCCACTACCATTTGGTAGTCTTGTGTCTGGCTCCAACTTGGCACTGCAACAAAGAGATTTAGTAATTTGGGCATTTCCACAGTGCAGACTTTCCTCTTCCTCCTGAACGATGGACCCTGATGTTTCTCTAAGTCAGGAATGATTCGTTTTGAGCTGCAGTAGCATTTCTGAAGTGTGCTGGATTCTGCAGCTGTTTTGGATTTACCAATGAACAAGCAAGTCTCTTGAAGTTGAGAGTGCTCAAAAAAATGAGTAGTTTGGCCATAAAAGAAAGAAAAGAGCATATACTACAGTATATAGGATAATGTTCTTATGTATTATATGCACAGAGAGGAACAAGTATGTAGAGATACCTGTGATGGAGCATTCCATTTCATGGGAGTGAAACAGAAATTGCATGCTCATCACATGTAGCAAGAAGAATGGTCCAGGAACAAGGACAAAATCATTGAAAAATTGACTGTTATAAGGAATATCTCCTTTTTTGTGTGTGTGATTATTTATGCTTTATAGGAGTGTAATTGTTCTAATCAAGAAAAACCTCAAGCTCTTTAGTGTCTATTGGACAGATCAAGGAATGCAGCTGTGGATTAGACATTTGTGCCGGAACAACTGCCATCTAATTAGTGTTGCTATTCTGGGAGGAAGCAGGGGTTGCTAAGATCATGCAGAAAAAGGTAATCTGCATATCTAACCATATGTCAGCTGTATGGGGGCAAGAATTTCCCTTACACAAGAACAACCACGACTTCTGGAGAATCAGTAATCTTACGTGTACAAAACTTATATGAAGAAAAATTAAAACTCAACAGCTGGTTACATATCTCAGGACTGTGGCATTTCTAAAAATAAGGAGTAATTATAAGACAGTCCATTATTTGATTAACCTACATAGATTATAAATGAACTCTGCCAGTATAAACGCTTAATATTGCCAGATCACTGGAAGATGAAGTCATTTGGTGTTTCTTTGTAAAGAATTGGCCATTGCTGAAAAATTAAGTCATTAAATAATCTCTTTGCAAAAGCATTTGAGATGTAGCATCTTTTCTAAAAAAAAAAAAAAAAAAGCCATTAATATATTTGCTGAATAGAATATAAAAAATGTCTTTAAAACTAACTGGGGAGCATTTTTGATTCTAGGGTAGATTTGTAATGGGATGAAAAGTACCATATTGTACTTTTTTTCTCTTTTTGTTGTTGTTAAAATTTCAATTTTTAGCTTCCTAGAAATGTAGGTTTGCTTTTCCAACAGAAATGCTTTCTTTCATGGAAAATTGAAAATATTAATAACAACTGGGCATTTCTACAGGCTATTTTGAGTTCTGATGAAGAAGTGAGCTGATGAAGAAAGCTGTGATCAGCTCCACTGCTACCCCTCAAATGATGGAAAAGCAAAAATGACATTTTCAGACACTTTGGGACTCTTCCAGTGCTCCTAACAGGCAGAATGCCCAGCAAAGCCAATGACAAATTTTCCTAGAAAAAAGTCAGTGGTTTGACAGTGTCTCATTATAGCCATTGTCTCAGGAGGATGGAAACAGATGACTACTAGAATTTTTCAAAGTTCAACATGCTCAGATAAATATTCTGTTCACATATCCTTGGCAACGCTGTGGATGCCCAGAGGGGCTGCACTGGAAAAATCACAAGGAAAGAACCAGAGTCTAAAGTGAGAAGGGTTTCTTCCAGTGTTTTCTGATAAAAAAACATCTGCCTTACCAGGGGAGAAGGGCACTGATAACATAGGCAATATTGATCATATGGTCCAATATCAACAGTTCGACACTTACAAAGGACCTAGAGGTTGGGGTTTTTTTGTGTGTGTGTGTGTGCAATTCTAAAGAACTCCTCTGAGTAAATCTAGCTCCAAATGTCAGTGGGATGATCCTGAAATGGGGGTGTTCATTTTGTTTTCCAGAATAGGCTACCAGATTCCACTGTTTGCTGGCTTCTGCATCATGTTTGTGTCGACAATCAGTAAGTGTCCACATCATTGATTCAATTCAGATGCACTTTTAGAATAAATGACCTATGATAATTATCACTGAGCATTGTTGATTTAGAGGGAATTTATTTATTTCAAAGGAAAATATGTGACTGCTGAGTGGGTGGCGGTATGATTTGAGAAACATATCCTTACAGACAAGAGATTCTCCTCCACTTTCTAGCCCATGTGGGTTGGTCTCTTCCATACCTGATCCTCCTCTCAGGATCTTATCGTCTGAAGCTAGTGGTGTTCAGTTTTAAGCTGATAAAATGTTCGACCATGGGAGGGCTATTTTAAAACTAGTTATGGTACAAACAAGAAAAATATTGTAAGATTTTAGTGGATCACAAGCAGGATAAGAATCAATGGTGTCATAGCGTTGCTAAACATCACGGCTCAATGTGCAAACAGGAGCATAGCCTGCAAGTCAGCAGAGATAATTTGTCCACTCTAGTGGCATTAAACACTAGGCATCAGCTGGTGTTTAATATTCAGTTTGGCATGGCACTTAAAGAGGTAGCACACATGGAAAGAGTAGAAAGGAGAACATCAGTGATCATCGGACACCTGTGAGGAAAGATTAAAAGAAGTGGATTCAGAAAGCAGATGTAGGACATACTAAAGTCTATGACAAAAAGGAAGCAAATAAACACTTTTCTTTGTCCACTGCATGCAAGAAATGATGAGCTTTAAAACTACATCAAAGAAAATTTAGGTGAAATATTAAAAAAATATTTCTCACAGCAGGGGGAGTGTAGTGCTGGAAAAGATTACCTGGTTGTAGAGTCTCCAGCACTGCAGGGTTTTTTATTTCCTAAATAAGAGATAAGGCAGGGAGGGGAGTCCTGGGTAAAGTCTCTGTCGAGAGACTCCTCCTCAGATGCATTTCTGTGGTGCTCTGCTGCTGTACTTACTGCAGCAGTAAGTTGATGCAGCCCTTGTATGGGTGCCATTGGTTTCCATGCATGTTCAGCCAGCTGTGCTGCACAACCCGGAGCGTGGAGTTGGCAACACTATTCTAAGACCTCTTTTCATTGAGATGCTTCTTGGAGGAAGGGAAGGTTTTGGAAGGGGAGGGAATCTATGAATTGCCATGAGCTTCAAAGTGAGCACCCTTAAATGAAGCAGCATGGGGAGGCGGGCATGAAAGGAGAGGTCTTGTTACTCCATCTGTGTGCAGCAGAAGCAGAGCAGGACATAATCTAATCCTGAATAATTAGTTAAGCCCACTTGTGTGCTTGCATCCTGTTACCAGGAGGCTTTGATGCCTAAGAACAATTCACCACTGACAATTCAAAATGCAATAAGAGAAAATAATGCAGTTAGCATTGAAGGTGGCACTAGTCGCTGTAAATGTTTGACTAAATTGCATGGGGGCTTTGTGATAGTTTAAAGAAATCTGACTTTTTAACCTAGTTAGAGTTAACCTGATTTTTAAAATCTATCTTTTCTGTAGTGTTTGCTTTCTCAGGCAGCTACACATTACTGTTTATTGCAAGGTCCCTTCAAGGAGTGGGTTCCTCTTGTTCTTCAGTGGCAGGTAAGAGAATAAATATGCAAAGTAAATATACAATAGAGTAAAATGCAAATCACTGCTTCTGCCATTGTTAGTGACAGTCATTTTCTTATTTGTATATAGTCTGCAGTTTCAATAATACTGAATTACTCAATTAAATCAATTTCACCTTTTTTTTTCCTGCTTCTTTCATATAAAGAAGCCCAAAAGCAAATGTCATTTCAGAATTCCTTGGTATTTGGGTTGTTGCAGGGTAGAAGTGCACTTTCCCTGGGGTTCCTGCATGTGCGTCTTCAACATTCAAAATTCACTTTTAGCA